TGTGTGTTTTTCGAGGACATTTTTCGTCTTAAACGTTTCATGCTGTTGTTTTCGGACAGTTTATCACTTAAAGATGGCGGTATGATAAATATAAGGCCATTGCGGTGTTTTGGTCGAGTCCTTTTATACCTCTGTGTTAAAAAAAAATAAGAAAATAACGACAGAAACACCGGGAGAGTGAGGCTCTCCTTCCTGGCTGAGGCGGAACCTTCGCTCTGGGGCTGCGGTGCGCAGTCGGTCCGCCGCCGGATGCCGGGGGTGTTTTCAAAGTTAGCGCTGTCTGATCTTCGTCTTTCCCCGTTTTTACATCTCGGACGGCCGCGTTTGGGAAATAAGCACAGGTATCCCGACGGGAGCGCTGTGTGCGGGTGGCGGAGTCTTACTATGGTCTAAAAACCCCCGCGTTTCTGGACGTTAGCGTTAGCTTCCGCCGGCGGCTACCTGACGAGCGAAGGTAAGTTAGCTGCTAGGCTAATGTTGTTTTGTGTCAGCTGCATTTAAAACGCGTGTCTCACTTGTAGAGGCGATTTGGACTAAATAGCACAAATAATGAGGTCATTCCATGTAAATTGTAGCCTGTTCGCTGTGCCGAAACCAGCCGGCAGAGCTGAATCCCTAGCTAATGCTAACGCTAATGCTAACGCTAATGCTAACGCTAATGCTAATCCTGGTCTGTCAAACAGCGAACAGGAGCAGAAAATGGACTCAGACTCAGACCTCAGACTGACTGGCCCACCTGCGCTGCCGTGCTATTTAGGGACCGGGACTGTTGTGGCATTTCTTTGTCCAGAAATATTCAAATATGTCATTTTTGGCCTAAATTATCCTCCAAAAAATATGGTTCTTAAATGGTTCCTTAGTAACTTCAGTGGTTCTGTTTAGAACTGTTTATATGCTAAAGTGGTTCATTGCTTAGTGGAGTGGTTCTTCTGACTGATGGAGATTGTGTAGTGTATGGTTCCATATAGAACGTTAATGGAAATAGCCCTGTCTAGCACCAAAAGGAGTTCTGCTATTTTTGTGATGTTAAGCTTGTTACAATAGAATAACCATTTTTGTGCTAAATAGAACCATATAGAACCATATCCAACCATAGTGGGCTATATAGAATCATGTGCAACACATTCTTCATCAGTCCGAAGAACTGATTCACCATGCAAAGAACCATTTAAGCTTAAAATATTTCTATGAAGAACCATTGGTTCTAAATAGAACTTCCATTTACTGAAGAACCCTTGAAGAACCATGTTTTTGAGTGTATGCTGTTTTAGACCTGCAGTGACTGGGATTGCTATGGCATTTCTTTGTCCAGAAGTATTAAAATATGTCATTTTGGACTAAATTACACTTAAAAAAATATGGTTCTTAAATGGTTCTTTAGTAATGTCAGTGGTTCTATTTATCTATCTATACAGAACTATTTGCATGCTTAAGTGGTTCTTTGCATAGTGAAGTAGTTCTTCAGATTGATGGAGATTGTGTAGTGTAAGGTTCTATATAGAACCTTTATGAAAATAGTCCTATCTAGCACCAAAAGGAGCTATTTTTGTGATGTCAAGCTTGTAACTGTAGAATAACCCTTTTTGTGCTAATAGATTCATATACAACACATTCTTCATCAGTCTCAAGAACCATTTCACCATGCAAAGAACCATTTAAGCATGAAATATTTCTATAAAGAGCTCAAGGCTCTAAGTAGAACCATTCCATTTACTAAAGAGCCCTTGAAGAACCATCTTTTTAAGTGTATACTGTATTATTTATAAGACCTGCAGTGACTGGGATTATAATGTTATTTCTTTGTCCAGACATTTAAAAATATTTAGCTTTTGGCCTAAATTACACTCTTAAAAAGAAGATGGTTCTTTAAGGGGTTTTTTAGTAAAGTCAGTGGTTCCGTTTAGAACCGTGTGTCCTATATAGAACCATTTGTATGCTTAAAGGAATTTTTGCATGGTGAAGTAGTTCTTCAGATTGATGGAAAATGTGTTCTCTATTGTTCTAGATTGAACTTTTTTGAAAATGGTTTTCTTTGGCACCAAATAAGGTTCTGTTATTTTTACAACATCAAGCTCGTAACAATAGAATAACCCTTTTTGGTGCTAGATATATTTCTATAGAATAGCTATGTCTGTATACAACACGTTCTCCATCAAGCTGAGTAACCATTTCGAGTATGAATTCAAGCAGTTCGAAGTATGAAATGTTTCTGTAAAGAACTTGTGGTTCTAAATGGAACCATTCCTTCTATCTTCCCACTGTCTGTAATTGGTTATCCAAGTCTAGACAAAGATAGATGTTTTGGTAGTTGGTCTTTATCTCCTTTAAAGTGGAACTCCACCAATTTTTCAAACATTCTACATAATTTAATGGTTAAGATGTAAACAGTCATTCAGAGTGGTTTGGTGTGAAACACTCTGTTCTAGATAAACTTACAGAGTCAGAATTGTTCACAGTGGTGGTGATAGGAACCAGACGTCCACCTCTAAAAGCTCCTCACAGAAAGTTACTACATGAAATGGTTATGAATTCACTGCCTGATGACTGAGACACTGATTTGTGGTAGTTTTATGTTAAGGTTTTGACTCCGTTCATGGTGGAGGGGTACATGCAGGGCATTGTGAGGCAAAATAGCCCCCAAAGAAAACATATTTTTTCAGATTTATCGCTATTTTACCATCATCTTTACATATAAAGCTCAGTAGACTCGTGTAGGTTCACTAGTGGTTTTGGATAGTAAATAAAACGGCTATATTTGTGTTGTAGTCACCACAACCCCCGGGGCCAGATTCACAAAAGCTTTCTGAAGAAAAACAACTTGTGAAGGTTTTTAAGATAAACACTAATAAGTTAATAAAAATGTTCTTAAATGCAAATCTCAAAAAAAACTTAAAAAAAAAACTTAAGAAGTTCTCGAATATTCTCTCAAGAGAATCTTAATCATTCTCTTAAGATTTTCTTAAGACAGTCTTGTTTGTTTTCTCATGTAGGCTGTGTTGCATTTTGCCCCAGACCATAAATGACACGAGATACAGTTTGAATTTGTATTAACTGTTTATTAGGTCAATACACTCAGGGTTGCAAAATGGAGGAAAAACATCAAACCAAGTGTTTTAAAAAATGAGCAGATAAGAGCTGGAGGTGATGGTGGAAAAAACAGCCAACAGGGAAAAGAATCCTCCTTGGAAAATCCGTTAAATGTGGGGTGACGCAGATGAGGAGCAGCAGAGGCAGCTTCCGTGTTCGATAAATTTAGATGCTTATCTTGTCAACTCTCACAGCCTGCAATGCGAGAGGCTGTCCTAAGGTTAAGAAAGCATTTAAGAAACAAAATATTATTCTCAAGAAAATAGTTAAGAAAAGAAAAGAAGATAATTCTTTGGAGGTTGTTTGGAGAATAACCATTTCTTGTAACTTTTTCTTAAGAATGAGGTTAAGAAAAAGCCCACATTTAAGAAGATTGTCTTTCTTAAGACACCTTTGTGAATCCAAAACCAGTTCCTATCACTACCACTGTAAAGAAGTCTGAGTTTCTCTACAGTGGACTGGTCTATTGGTCAGTCCACTCTGAATGACTTTGTCTACATCTCAACAATTAAATTCTGCAGAATTCTGCACAAATTGGTGTATGTGGCCATATGACATAGATCTCATGATCAAATGTTAAAACTGTCAGGGGTCAAATCTGTTAATTCACTGTCCTCAGAGCAGGGCTGGGCGATTAATCGAAAAGTAATTAAAACCTCATTCAGAACCTCTGACCGATGTAATCTTGCCCATGTCGGTTATTTAGATTTTTATTTTTTTTTTTTAATTCTGTTAGTCCTTTCTCCAGTCTGTGTGTTCATGTACTGTCCCCTTAAAAACTTACTACCGTGCGTGTATCACGTGACTCCACCACATCCACTCTGCGACATGGAAGCTAAGGCTACGTTCACTCAGCAGGTAAAAGTGGCCCAAATCTGGTTTTCTCACCAAATCCGATTATTTTGTTCGGCTGTTTACAGTATCTTTTAAATGTGATCTGTATTCGACATCAGTCTGAACAGATCAGCTCCTAAACTGACCCGCATGCACAGAAGAACAGAGCTTCACGCTGCTTCATGGCTCATCCAGAGGTAAACAATCACGACTGCCAACGAGCGCCAGTCGATCTTGGAGGATCAGCTTCATCTTCACCAGCATCACAGGAGCCATCATGGAGCTATCATGGAGCTTAACTGACTGATAGCTGGGCTCTTCACCCAGAATATGTTCGAGCTCACCGTAAAAAGGGCGCGGTCACTTCTTTGGTTTGCGTCCTCGGATTCTTTAAACTTTGCTTTCAGACTTTTAACTGTTCTTTGACGCTGCAGCCTCGTTCTCCTGGAGCCTCGTTCTCCTGCAGCCTCTTTCTCCTACGGCCGCGTTCGGACATTTCTTTTGAAATCTCTTCAAACACGGAGGGTTTTGGATAAATCTCTTCTAATTTTTGTACAGAAATATCACCCCAAATGTTTATTCGGTCTCAGCAGTGCGAAATTATGATGGATGTTGAGTTGGATTGACGTAAAAGCGGCGTGAATTCCGATCTGGCTGTTGAGATGATTTACATTAAGATATTCAGAACACATTTACTGTACAATCCTTGTCAGCGAACTATGAGGGGAAATAAATAAAATAATTGTTCGTCAATCATAATCGAGGTAAAACATTCAATTAATTGTGATTGATTTGAGGTCATATCGCCCAGCACTACCTCTGAGTGTGAAATTGTATAACATGAGTCAGTTTCTGATACAGGCCTGGTGAAGGTCCTTATCTAGTGTCAGCATTCCCATTGACACCCTTCTGATAAACTCCTGACTGATGACGGTTGTTCACCAAAAAGTATTTGTCTAAGGGGGTTTGTAGGCTTCACTGTACGTGTTATACTGGGTGGCCTAGGTCTAAATTGCCAGGAGCTGAATTCTTTACTTGCCTCGCTGTTTGTGTCATGTGTTCAAATCGTCTTCGGGCAGGTGGGTGTGAGCGCACGCATGTGTGTTGCTCAGCTATGCTGACGTTGGCGAGTAAGCTGAAGAGGGAGGAAGGAGTGAGAGCAGGCGGAAGCCCTGCAGGCTCCCACGATGCCTCACACAGAGTGTCCATCAGAGACCGGTTGCTCATTAAAGGTATGTGGAGATTGAAAGTATCCTAAAAAATTTAAGTATTATTAGCACTTTTCAGTATTAAGGGTGGGTCACTACATGCCAGGGGTTTGTGAAGTGTTGCAAAGCAGAAGGTTAATAGTTTTCATGAGTTTCAGGATTACGTGGGTCTGAAGTGCTCTGTAATTCAGCGAGAACACATTGTTCCCTGGAATAATCAGCTGGAATATGAGTGGTGACCTGTCAGGGGCCGCTCTCACGGAGCACGCTCAACTTAAACCGACTTCTGACTAATCTTCAGCTTCTAAAACCAAAACAAGCGCATATAGATACATACAAGATACACACACAATACATATAGGCTGTGATTAAGCGTCCTGTGCTGATGAAAGTGTGTCGTTCACAGACAGTGAAACATGGAGCGCTGTAGAGTGCTTCTCTCTTCAAAGAAGGAAAAAGAAATCTTACTATGTTAATATGTAGAAAGTAAAACAATTCTCATGGCTTTTATTACAGCTAAAAGCACAGTTATTACCACTGCCAGTGTATTAGTGCTTTTAGGCATAATAATTGCTTCTTAATCTATATATTTGTGTAGCATTATTATTATTATATTATTGTTGTTGTTGTTGTTGTTGTTGTTGTTATTTTCAAACTGTGATGTTATGTCATCAACTGCTACATGATATGATCAGCATCAATCATGTGAAATAATATTGTTTTTAAATAAGGGAAATACCTTTTACTTACAAACCTATATAAATACCTACTTTTTTACATTTTAACCCATCCGTGCAATGAAACACCACATACACACTAGTAAACACACACACAGCTGGGGTTTAGGTGCCTTGCTTAAGGGCGCTTCAGTCACGTGCTGTCGGCTCAGGGGATTGAACCAGCGACCGTCCGATCACAAGGCTGGTTCCCTAAGCTCCAGCCCACGACTGCCCCCTAATAGGTAGTGACTTACAATAATTGAGATGAAAAAAACAACCTGAAGCAGGTTAAGTGTGCAGCATGAGGTGCCATAGCGACGTAGGTGTAAGTGATCCGCCATTGTGAGACAGAAGATCCCAGGATAGATCGATCGAAGTCTGAAGTTAGTTTGAAGTTGGCTGGCTAAGCAAGAAATCTTGCTTTATGAGGCAGCAGCTGGAGTCAGGACTGTAGTGAAGTCAGTATGAGAAGGTTTGTTATCAGTAACTGACCCGCTGACCAGTTTCTCGAGTTCCTCAGCCCCAGGGCATGACCACTGTATTATTTTGACAACAAAATTGGCTGATGTTAAGGCTGGTATTGACTGCAATCGCTAAGAATCCTGGGAAGTGCAACCACCCCCACCTCCACAGGTGCTGCAGTGTCTACATTATTTAAATGTTTATGTTTTGCACTATTCTGAGCTGACAGTGGACAGTCACATCAGTCACTACAGCACTGTTGAACTAAAACTGTTGGGGCCCGTTTAATTTTTGACAGTATTAATTGTTTCTGCTATTATCGAGTGCGTTTACATGCACTCAATAAATCTGATAACTGCAGAAAATCAGATTTTGTAAGTAATCCGAACAACACGTTTACATGCACTTGAGTAATTAGATACTAGATTAGACGTGATTTAAACGTAATGTAAAACTCAAACTTAAATCGCGGCTTTTTTAAACAATATTGCACCACTTTACCTGAAAATATGAACTTACATCATCTAGAAGATGAAGAATGTTCAAATCCTTTATTGTTTGGTTTCATCGCCGCTCCAACAGTGTTTTGCTGCGTCTCGAGACATCCACGTCCGATCTCGTGCAGACTGAGAAATCCGAAAGAAATCAGAGTAACAGTTTATACATGAATCCCTTCCTCTGCTTGATGATTTGATGATGTGTTTTCAGAGGTTAGACCTGTGCCAAAGCTCTTATTTGGACCAGAAGGAATTCTGATTAGTTACTTTAGATGAACTCTAGATAAACTCATTTCTACACACTACATGGGTCTTTATTTTGGCACGAAGTAGACTGATACTTGGTTAAATTGTTTTTAAAAATTATGTTTGTTTCAGTTTAGTTCACTTTATGTCTGTTGCTTTTTGCTAAACCACGTCCACCTCAACATTTTACCAGCTGTCATGTGCATGAATATGAGTAGATGAGTGTTTGTGGGGAAAAATAGCTGACATGGAACTACAGGCAGTGTTTAGGTAGGGTAAAACACTCAGAACCATTTAAAAGGGACTCGTGTTGTGCTGTAAGCATATAGCTCTGTAAGTCATGCTTTGTGCTGGAATATAGTATGTATGTGTCATATGATGTGTGCTAGAATAGGAAGTTCTATTTATAACTCCCAAAGAGCTGCAGTGGCATTACCAGGTCTTAGAGAGGAACTCCTAACACACTGAAACAGCCGACTGGGTCTTAGAACTGAAGGACGCAGAAGCTAATAAGAGTTCATGGCTGTTTATTTTGGTATCGTGTGTTGGTGAAAAAGAAGCACCTCGTGTTTATTAGCATTTTGTATGACTTGCATTTCTGGAGAGCAATTTCAGAATAAAAGCTTTGGTTAAATTCAGACTTTTTGATCTTGTTTTCTTTATTATCTGGTCTAAATACACTCACTGGCCACTTTAATAGGTACACCTCATTGTGTCACTTGTTGCCTATTTTATCAGATCCGTTTACTATATTGGTGCATTTCGTAGTTTAGTTTGTTGTCGATCTGTTTCTCTGCATACTTTGTCCGTAACACCCCACGCCCCTTTAGCTTATATATATGCTATGTGGAGCTGATAACTTGATAACTGGACAGTGAGTGTAGATCTAAGGTCGATGTACCTAATGTTCTCTCTAATACTTTAACTTGCACATAAACTTACATATATGTCTTCCAAATTGTCATTCAGTATCTGTCTGTCTGTCTGTCTGTCTGTCTGTCTATCTATCTATCTATCTATCTATCTATCTATCTATCCAGCCATCTATCTATCTATCTATCTATCTATGCCGATCTGTTGCCTGAATTATTTTTGCCCTGTTCTAATACAGTATTTCTGTTTTCAGAGGTGGCAGAGCTGGAGGCCAACCTTCCTAGTGAGTAAACCCATTCTTACATAGTGTTCACCTTCAGATAGTTGTTGTTATGAATGTTCTTCTCTTGAAATAAGCCTACATGATGTGATCTTTCAATGAACCCATGATATAACATGGTTAAAGATGGCCATACATTATTTTAACCCCAGTTGTTTGCTTACTGGATCATGGGAATGTTGTGACTCATCAAAGCATCAACAGAAACTCCACTGGATCGTCATCATTTTGATTGGTTCAAGTCTCATTTGGAAGGATTTTATGTGTTTCTTGAAGACAGCTCTGTTTGAAATAATTATCTTTTTTCCTATTATAAAAATGACATGCTGACTTTCCCATGCTGACTTGTACCATCCACTGCTGTATTGTGTAGTCAAGTGTTCTTCCTGCTGTAGCATGTCTGTCGTCAGGTGTGTCAGAGATTGCAAAGAGAGGTCACTCACTATGACTGACACTGGGAGACACTGACCTAATCCATTAGAAATGTCTGTGCCCTAACAGTGAAGTGTTTTTCTTGGTGCAGACACCTGTAAAGTCACGTTTCACGATGTGAACAAGCTCCACCACTTTCAGCTTGCCATTACTCCAGGTAAGTCTCTCTTCTTTGATCGAATAGTGCTGTCACCACAAATATGAATGTGTCTAATAGGGAATTAAAGCAAGTGGAGACTTGCATGATTTCCATTGTCTGTCACAATACAATATGCTAATATGAGCATACTGTGGATATTGTCAGTAGTTAGGGAACACTGACCATTTTTCATTACGATAATCCATAATTGGTCCTGTTTAAATGGGTTACTGCACCACAGTATATAAATATTGAATAAAAGTTGTTGCAGTCTTCAAGTATTTTTGCCATATCGTCTAATGTTAGTACCAGCCGTGTTGTTGATTTGTTATTAATGTTATTGGCGTTTTTGTGTGAAGTGCTGTGTCGGTACCAAGGGCTCCCCTTCAATCCCAGGCCTCTAACATAATATCATTAAACAATAAATCTTTTAATACCGGCTAAACACTTCCACTAATAACTGTTTCAAGTCTCAGTTCTCAAAAGATGTCAAAAAGGAAAAAAGACTTCAGATGCTGAGTTTGTGGAAGGAGGGAAAAGGGCTTCTTTATTCCAGCGTCAGAAGGCATGCAGGTCTCGAGAGACCCACCTGCGCAAATACAGTTTTCAGTCAGCGCCTTACATATAACTTATCTGGGGTTTTATGATGTTACCTCAAACTTGATGTTCCATTACTCCCCATTCAAAAACTTCCCCGATCACTTGGCCTCTCTTACCCGTACGTTCACACTGGCAGCGACTTTTCACCTCTTGCTGCCCAAATCGCTGGTCACTCATTATCTGTGGGTGTTTCTGAACTCTGAACTGACCATTGGTTGCCATGGTTTCACTGACGCCAAGTACAAATCAGATGCATTCCCGCTAGAAATAAAAATCCTGGTGAGAAATCGCCTGTGTGCTTATTTTATTTAATCCCTGTGTCTTTGCAGTCAGTTTGTGAGGAAAACGGTATTTGGTCTTTGCGATTTTCGTCTATTTGCGACAAAAGCACCGCCTCCATTATTCAATCTCTAGTAGGAAAAATTATCTAGGACCTATAAAGGAGCGTACTGTTTCACAGTGGCGGAGATAAAGTGCGTACTGCGCTGCTCAGTGCTCTATTCCTATTGGTAGTCACCACATCGCTTCGCTCCAAAGTTAAACTCACTGGCTGACTCCGCCCACTTCGCGTCGCCAACGTTCGCACTGCTTCCTGTAGCCGGCAATTGCCGGCTCTCATCGAAAATGAATGACCTCCGGCTGCTTTCTCGCATCGCGCTGCTGCCGGTGTGAATGCAGGGTTAAGTTTACTGTGTACAACACAAAAAAAGCTGGTTTCAGCCAGTTTGTACCAGTTTATCTCATCCTACAAGGCCGACAAGTACTGGACCATATATCATATGGACCCATATGGCTTCACTGAGGGTGCACCTGCAAGTAAAGTCATCTAAGTTCATCTTCTCCTATATTACCTCTTAGTAAGAAAGTAATATTCCCTTTTAGTCCATGCTTAAGGATTTGATTTATTGATTACATATCTAATCTGTTTACTTATTGATTTAAGGGTGTATTTATTCAAAATCTTCCATCAGCTCCTTGAAGTGAAGACTCAAACAGAAATAGCTGGCTGCAGATTCATTAACCAGTGAAAACGAATTGTAAACGGAAGCTGCTCAGTCTTACCTGTATTGTGCTTTTTATAGTGCGTTTAAATTATCCATTAGATACTTCAAGGTTTAAATAGAAGTGCTCCTTCTGCTTCATTAATTCCCCGCAGATGAAGGCTACTACCAAGGTGGAAAGTTTCAGTTTGAAATCGAAGTCCCTGAAGCCTATAATATGGTGGTAAGTGCCCTTGTTTTTGTTCACAGTGACAGGAATGGCACTTTCTAATCAGTATTAAACTCGCTGCTTAATCCCTTACGTGGCCAGGACCCAAACTTTTATTACACACTTCTATAACCTAACAACAGCTCAACCAGTTTACATTGAAGTCCCCTGTAGTTACTGAATAATAAGCCTTAGTATGTAATTTAAGTTTAAGGCAGATTTTGAGAACAATAGACATTTTTGCAGAGTAAGGAATCTGCATAGGCAATACAATTTGTATATATAACATGAGTTTTTGTAAGTTTGGGTTTGGAGTTTTGGCTATACTGAATTCTCACATCTCTTTTCTTTTTTTTTGATTCTAAGCCTCCTAAAGTTAAGTGCTTGACAAGAATATGGCATCCAAACATTGCAGAAACGGGGGAGATCTGTCTGAGGTACTGATTTACGTTCATGGGTGTCACTGGAATGTCGATATGCATCTTTCCATCGTAGTAAATTAGTTTTTTTTCTACAGTTGTTCACTGTTTTAGTTTAGTTTTAATTTAACTGAGAGTCACAATGCTTTATTTGTGCTCAGTAGAGTTTATTTCATGTTTATTAAATCATTATTTTTTACTGCAATATTTATTTATTTATTTACTTAAAAATACATCAAAGCGGCATTTAACCTTTCTTGCGCACTTCAAACCAAATGACTGAACCTTTCTTGCAGCTTACTGCGAGAGCATTCAATCGATGGGCACGGGGTGGGCACCAACGCGCACGCTAAAGGTGAGGCTCTTATAGCCAGCAAAGACACTAGAACACCAAAGTGCGACAGAATAGTTCTGTGCAGTAGAAGAGTTAGTCATTTGTAAAGTAATGATGGATTGATTCACTTCTTATTTACACTGATATGCAAACCATACATACTTTCTGTTGTTCTAGTGTTTTAGTGCAAATGTCCTTTTCTCAGTGAGGCTCTTCTAAACAGCTACACATCCTTTCAGACCCATAGCGCTGAATTGTCTTCTCACAGTGAAAGGATGGACAGAAACTTAAGCGGCTTGATTTTCTCCTCTCTCTCAAAGATGAAAGCTTTACTGTTCATCTAATGGACAATTTATAGTCCAGGCAGCAAGTGTCGCTTGACAAAAAAAAGCTGTGGTCAACAGACATCACAGCGCTGTAGGCTTTTATAGTCCTGCGCAAGCGACTGGTTAGTCTGAAAGTGCAGTGTGGGGGAAGTTACACTTCCGCGGGTGCGTTTTCTGCTTGGACTACTTTTTAAAGTAATCACAGTCGCGGAAAAGGGTTTGAAAATGAAAACAAATCGTCTTATAAATGTGTATTGATCCTAGTTCTGAACAGCTGGCGCCCTGTTCTGTTTCTTACAGTGACCGAGCAGCTAGAAAGTGAACACAGCAGCACATTGTGAAACTTAGAAACTTAGAAACTTAGAAACTGAGTTTCTATCCAGTCAGAGCGCGCGACGTCTGCACCATTTCAGTTTTATTTGATGTATGCGACGAGGTCTGTGATACCCTAGCAGACACGAATTTAGCGTCTTTTACCTCCTTTTTTTTGTCGAGCGCTGCTTTTCACCTAGACTGCAAATTGGCCTTAATGGGGACAGTTTTGGTCCCATTTTCTCTCTTGCTTTTAACCATTTTTTAAACTCCAGAGTTTTATTTTAGTTTAACATTTTCCTTCCCTTATATTTCTCCTACTTCATTCAAGTGAATCTTATATCTGACCTCTTCAGAAATATCTTCTGAAAAATGAATAACTTGTGCTTAATGGCCGTTTTGATCTTGCTCTCTGAATTCACTAAATGGGTCATTCTACAGAAACATCCATTTTTGTGTCCCTAGCGTTTACAGATATATTACACTTAAAAACATCTTAGAGTTACAATTTATTTATATTTTAAAATAAAACGATGTTACTTTAACGATTACATCTTCTTGAGTGTCAATTTAGCAATATTGGTTCAATTATATAGAATTCCAAGCACCACAGAAGAGCTCGTCCTCATAGTCATGTGTGAAGGCTGTGGCCATATTTTGAGTTAAAAAACAGGTTTTTCTGCCACTTTATCTACAATAATCTATACATGACTATGGAATATTTGATTTAAAAGACATAAAGATATATTATAAAGAAATAAAGAAATATTATAAAATATATAATGAAAGTTGTGGTCCCCAGGAGTCGTGTCACTGGTGTTACTGCACAACAACAAAAAAAAACTCTTTATTTTGAAATAAAAATCACACTGATGACATCACTCGACTTCCTTTTACCTGTTTCCTGAGGATCTATGCAGAAAAGCACATGGTGAGTCCACTGTGTCTCTCAGTTATCAGAGATTTTCTCATTTAGCTCATGATTTCATATGAAGCTTTTAGCTGAAGTCACTGGTGTGACCCACTTTATTCTGAGGTAACTGTAAAAAAATAGAATACAAATGGATTGAATTACATATTTTAGCAGATATTCCATGTTTGACAAGATGTGGTTTGATGCTCTGTAGCAGCCATTTAGTACTTTTTTTTTGCTGTTAAAAATGTCTCTGGTGACACCTTTCTTATGTGTAACACCAATGACGATCCGTAACACCAGTGACTCCTATGGAGAGATAGAAAAGTGGACGTTTCTGTAGAATGACCCATATATGTTGGCTAGCAAGCAGAACTACTATGTTGAAGATGCTGGGGCTGTATTATTATCTTTTTGTCTTAACTTAAGATCTGACAGGTCAAGATCAGACTTTTCACAAATTTGTATTACAGAAGCAAATATCTTGATTTAGGAATCTTATCTTACAGCGTCTTTTCTGATCTTAAGTTAGGAAATCTTAACAAAGAACTCTCGTGTCTGTTACCTAGCAACTGACCATATGCGCACAGCTGAAACGTGAACATGTAATCAAGTTAGTTAGCCAGACAGCTAACGTTAGCTACCGTTGCTGAGGTAAAAAAGGTCAAATGAAACTAAAGCGCAATAAACTGAGAGTTAATAATATTGTGTCAGTGCTTCGTGCTGTTTATCAGAGTCACTGGTCCACAGTTTCAGTTTCCCAAACTCTTTAGCCGAGCGCACTAACATTATTCCTGCTAATAAACAGACACACGTTCACCTCTGTCTCCTCATTATTCACCACCATCTCTAATATTTTATCAACATTAACACACGAAGGTAATAAGAGGGAATTCGTGTCTGCAGCGTCTGGGGCTTTTAAACGCTGTTAGAAAAAACTCACAAGTCAAAGCAGCGTTTTCAGTGTAGATAAGTGTAGCGTCCTTAGGCTGGTTATAGTGAGCTGTGCTGCCTGACACTGCATAAAACAATAGAAACAGACGAATAAACAGAAGTTAAGACGCTCTGGGGTTTATCTTAAAGTTAGGATATTTTAGCAACTTAGGAAGTTTCTGTAAAACCGTTTTCTTATCTGGAAACAAGATAAGATTTTAGACTTAAGAACTGTTGTTCTGTAATGTCTTCAGCCCTAACTGAAGTTGCCATGACAGCAAAGCAGATAAGATATGATTTCAGACTTAAAAATTTTCTCTAATATGGCCCCTGGTTTTGATCTGAGCTCAGGCTAAGCTTATTTTTCTAACTCAGTCCCATTCCTTGTCCTTGGGCTGTCATTCGTCATGTAGCGTTTGCTGTGTACAGGTTCTGCTTTCCCAAGATGGCAGCACTTTTTTTTTGGCATTAGCATGATGCCAAATGCAATGTGCTAAGTATATATTTGTGTGCTAATCTGTACTGTTCTTTTTTAGGATGTGGTGTGGGGATTGAATTCACTGTTCACTGTAAGTGCCACAGTATGTGTCTCTCTCTCTCTCTCTCTCTCTGTCTTTCTGCTGTGTGTCTCAGTAAACTCTCCAGGCGTTTTCACGCTTTTCCCAAACACCCAGGAACGATTCTGGGCATGTTTGAGGGAGTATTACAAGTTTATTTTCATGCAGGAGAATTTCCTCTGAAACTTCACATCAGGGCACAAGCTTCATCCCTTTACTGTTCCTGCCACTAAAGGGATGACATTTGACGATATGCTCGTACATTTATTGCTGTGTTTCTTTAGTAGGCTGCCTGACACTCAAGCAGTGATGGGCAGTGGTTATTGCATGTGTCGTACGTCTTAGTGCAGGAACCTACTGACGTTGAGACGTTCTCACTTGGGAATCTTTTTGGCCATGAAACATGCATTTTTCAGGATCAGATCACAGTGCTTGCAGGAGGACCAGAGATCAGTTCTCCAAACTACTCATGGGCTCAAAATCAGCTTTCACACTTGGCTAACGTGCCAAAGTCTTGGGGCAAACGTCCTCAGGTCTGGAAAAAAATGCTGAAGTGTGAAACGCCCTAAGACTGTTAATAAACCTCTTCTCAGAATGTCCGAACTTAGGCTGACTCTTAGATTCAGAGTAGTGTGTTCTTTTTAAAGTCTCTGTTCAAGTAAATGTTGTCGTTATACGTAAATAGATAAGAAATGCTTATTTCACTAGTAAAATAATAAAGAAGATGTTCAGCAAAAATAAACAATTAACATACCGAACAATGTTGCAGTAGCATTTACTGTAGAATTTAGCAAAGCAATGGTATATGTAGTATTTAACAAAAATACCAGCTCCATTTTGTACGCTTTAGATGAATGTGAGGATTTACTGGAGGATTCGAAAGCAGCTTTACTTCAGATTAATTGTTTCATATACTAGGAAGGTTAACCAGCCACAAGCCACACAGTTTTTATTAGTGAAGTTTTGTAAGACTTCAAGTTTTTGGTCACACATTTTACCGTAGGGTTCTGTTCATAAGGCTACGTGACACATAAGCTTGTCATGACAACTGACATAACCCTACATAAATGTTTATAAATGCTTATTCCATCTGTCATGAGCGCTACTTTAGCTGACTTTGATCAACATTGACAAATGTAACCATGTTTAGCAAATGACGTCTGCTAGAATAAGCAGTAATAAACAGTTATGTAGGGTTATGTTAGTGGTCTTAACAAGCTTATGTAGATGTCATGTAGCCTTATGAACAGCACCAAACAGTAAAGTGATACCAAGTTTTCTTTTAAAAACTATTTAACATTTCAAATGAATTGAACTGTTATGTTTTTGCACAATTCTTCTCACAGATTTGTGCCGTTTACAGTTTGTAGTCTTGGGGTTCTCTTGAGACGCATGACAAGTTGTCTGATTTCAAATGTGACTCTGAGAGCAGATGGACAGAAGCATTCGATTCAGTCATTTTATTATTCTCTTAAATGAAAAAAAAGAAGCAGAGAGTCTTTCGTTTATGTTTTTGGAAGCGCCTGTGTTTAAACTAATGAAAATAAATAATGTGCCTTTTTGTTTTCAACAGGATCTTCTGAACTTTGATGACCCACTGAACATAGACGCTGCAGAGCATCACTTACGGGACAAGGTGAAAAGCACAGCTCAGTGAAGCACTTTATCCTACAGTAATGAAGGGAGTTTGACCAGACAGACATAACGTGGCTATGAATGCGTGAAACCTATGTTAGCATGATGTTGTGTCATCACTCGTACCCTGTTAGCTGTAGTTACATAACTCATCTTTTTTTATTATTCGTTTAACGATTTAATGTGGTGTAATGTTAACCCTTGGAAACCTAACATTTTTGGAATTTTCGGTATTTTTTGAGTCATTACAATTGCAATTATAAAGTATTCACATGTGACAGTCACACATGCCATAGGTTGTTATTTTCAGGAGACCCTGGGCTACTCAGATATGCCATTGTTTGATATGTAAATCCTAACAGAATATAATATCTTTATGAATTTGGGTCATTTTTGATCAAAAATTTACCCAGCGCCTGCTAAATTTTGTATTTTTTTTAATTATAGAGATCTTGAAAACAAGTGCAGTAGTACTTTTCTACTGCAGTGTCTGTGAGCTGAAAGTGCAGTAGTTTTGATGGTGATTAGGTGGTGTAAAACTCTTGATACACAGCAAGAAAGGCTTCATTTTTAATTACAGATTGAGTTGCATATTTAATATCAGATATTTTTAATACTCAATATCAATGTAAACTGAAGGCCCTTTGTTTATAATATGAAGGCTAAAAGCAGAGATGTGATATAACAGTAGCGAGTGGGGTTTGGGTGATTTTGGAGCTGGATCTCTGGCTGATGGATGGTCACAGGTGGATGAAATCACTCTGGATTGTGTAGCAGAGTCTGATGAGTGATCTGATGTGTGAATCATGTCACTGTTTTAACCCTTTGTTGGAATATGAAGGCCAAGGCCAAAAAGATTTTGGGTGATTTTTCCGAGCCGAATTACTGACTGATGCTGACGTCACAGCTCTTGGAACTTTGGGTCCATTGGCTTACATTAAAAGTAAAGTTGATTTTTCCCTTCTCCTGTAAAGGTATAATTTTGGAGATACGAGGTTTTATTCCGACAACAGCGAAATGCCAGAAGTTTATATAAGTGTAACATTTATTGGTTTTATATATTTATTTGTTTCGTTTTTTGGACCAATCCAGTGCTGTATTTCAACATCAAAAATCTCTCCCCGTCTTTCTCTTCCAGGATGACTTCAGGAGCAAAGTGCAGGACTTCATTAAAAACTATGCAAGATGATGTCTCGGTCAGCTGCGCTAGCCGCTCATGCACGCCCGCGACTTTCGCAGCCGAACGCCCACCCACGAGCCCTGAGCGCCGCAGAGACAAAATCCCGAAACATTTCCAAACACGAAGAGAGCGAAACGTTCCGTGGCTTGAATCGCAGGCTCTTGCTTGAAGGTTTGGGAGTGGGATTGGTGGGCTTGTCTTTTAATTTTGTTTTTGTTTTTTTTTGTTTTTTTTGTTGTTTTTTTCTTGCTCAGGGCTGTTTTGCAGAAGCCCACAATCTCTCGTAAAGCTGGTTCTGCTTTATCCAGTTTGCTTTGCCAGCTAATGAAAACAAAGAGAAATGCGCAATTAATAAAGAAATCAGTTAATAAAGGATTAAAGGTAAATTATTCACAGCAACGATAAGACACACGCTCTCTGATGTCACCTCACGTGCTAGTGCCTCTGTGACCTTACGCTGACTGCAGCAGCCTGCAAGCTCCCGCATTCATCTGACTTTGTACCTGATATCCCTCAGACCCCAACACGTCGCAGGAAATGCACCAATCGCACACAAGGAGAGGAGGCTCCCGATGCTCGCTTAGCCAATACGTGCTCTGCAGGATATGAATATCTATATATAAATATTTTTTTTTCTCGGTGGAGTTTCTGTGAGTTTTACGAAGCCGCTTGTTCCGTTGCTGTCCGTATTTTCGCAGGTGCCTCTGACCGAATAAAGAGACTCTTGTAACCGTTTCTGATGAAAAACTTCGACTTCCTCGCACTCCTGAATGCGTTTTATTCCCGTCTGTATGAGTATACACGTTCAGCTTTGCAGATGTGTGCATGTTCAAGCGTATGCAAGCGAACACTGGGACACCAGCACTGTGTATGTGTGAAACAGAGACAGAACGTCTGATTTGGTAGCATGCACTGGGCTACTGGACCACTCAGCCATAAGCCTACGAAGCTAGTGAGAATTTACTTTATTTAATTTCTTTTCTCCCCTTCCCCCTTTCCTTTCCTTAGAGTTGTATATCCATTTGTAAAGTATATTAAAGATGGATTCTACTGACTTCACCTTTGAATGTGTCTCACTTCACACACAAGTTTTGCCCCTTCTGGTTAAATTCCATGTTTTATTGATGTTCTAAGTGAAAATAAGTGAACACATCCTCTACAGAGGACACACACATTATCTAAACCGCTTAGCCTTTATGGTCATGGGGTAAGCTGGAGCCTATCCCAGTGGTCATTGGGCAGAAGGCAGAAAACATAGATATACACCGATCAGACATAACATTGTGACCACCTCCTTGTTTCTACGCTCATTGTCCATTTATCAGCTCCACTTACTATATAGGTGCACTTTGTAGTTCTACAGTTACAGACTGTAGTCCATCTGTTTCTCTGATACTTTGTTAGCCCCCTTTTACTCTGTTCTTCAGTGGTCTGGACCCCCATGGACCCTCACAGAGCAGGTACCATTTGGGTGGTGGATGATTCTCAGCACTGCAGTAACACTGATGTCGAGGTGGTGTGTTAGTGTGTTGTGCTGGTGCGAGTGGATCAGACACAGCAGTGCTGCTGGAGTTTTTAAACACTGTGTCCACTCACTGTCCACTCTATTAGACACTCCTACCTTGTCAGTCCACCTTGTAGATGTAAAGTCAGAGATGATAGCTCATCTGCTGCTGCACAGTTTGTGTTGGTCATCCTCTAGTCCTTCATCAGTGGTCACAGGACGATGCACACAGGACGCTGCTGGCTGGATATTTTTGGTTGGTGGACTATTCTCAGTCCAGCAGTGACACTGAGGTGTTTAAAAACTCCAGGGCACTGCTGTGTCTGATCCACTCAGACCAGCACAACACACACTAATGGGGACCACTGAAGAACAGGGTAAAAGGGGGCTAACAAAGTATGCAGAGAAACAGATGGACTACAGTCTGTAACTGTAGAACTACAAAGTGCACCTATACAGTAAGTGGAGCTGATAAAATGGACGATGAGCGCAGAAACAAGGTGGTGGTCATAATGGTTATGCCTGATCGGTGTACATTCGCACATAGGGGCAACTCAGTGTGTCGGCCTGACTGCATGTCTTTGGACTGTGGGAGGAAGCTCAGACAGACAACAGGCAAAATCCACACTGAGCTGGCCCTGGTCACCTGGCCAGGGACTTGAACCCAGGCCCTTCTTGCTGTAAGGTGACGACTGTGTTCACAATAAGAGCTTCAGTATGGTTATCGGGGCTTCGAGTGGGACGTTGACTGATTGGTGCCTGGGCACAGATCTGAAGAAATGTTTTGATCAATCAAACCAAAGGGCTAAGAAGTGAGTTTTTTTTGGATCTAGTTAAATGTCGTTGTTGGTCAGATGGGACCGTTTTTATGACAAAAACAACAGGAAATGGCCTAAAATTAATACTTAGTCACACAGTGTTTCTTATGTTTGGTATACACATACATGAGCCTCCTATATGTATAAACAGAAGCACCTCTGAACTAATAGTAGTCATAAAATTAAAGTACAGCTATGTTCTGAGACATACTCCATCGGTTCACTTATATAAAACTTTTTTTCTGTGATGCTGATGTTTTTATACACTTCAGAGTTACTGCAGGGTTGAGAACAGTCTTCCAACCAAGAGCAGCTCTATGGTCTGAAATGAACCATTGTTGAGGGACTAGAGGACTGGGTATCAACAGACAACCGACAGTCACTAACTATAAACCAATAATGGTAGGGGTTTCTGATAAAGTGGCCAGTGAGGTTAGAGTGTGTAAAAGCCCCAGCAATGCTGTTAAGCATGATATACTTGTACCAGTGCACCACTCATACATACTAACATACATATCTGCTGTGGGAGGAAATCCTTATGTCTCCATTTTTGTTGTTTTTCAGTTTTTTTAATAATTTGAAAAAACCTGTTGCCCTTTACATTGTTTGTAAATTTCATGATGAATGGCCTAAAAGAAACGGCCCAGAATGACTTGGAAAAAAAATTCTGGTTCCATTAACTTACATTAAAAGTAAAGTAGGTTTTTTTCTTCTCCTGTTACGTTACCGTTTTGGAGATACGATGTTTTCTTCCGACAACAGCGATATGAATGTTTCCTCACTCGATTACTTTTTCTGCTCTTCCTGCAAAAACCAGACTGTGTGACCAAATATTCACCTTAGTATAATAAGAAAACAGCTCAAAAACAGAGGATAACTGAATAATATCAATGTTTCACTGATGGATCAACAATGTACACATATATACTGTGATAAACACACTTTCAACATTTTACTCATTTTCCAAAAACATACAAATTTGTGAACGAAACACACAAAATTCAGGTATTAGTCATCATCCACAGTATAGCTATACAAAATTCCATCCCTTTAGACCAATCAGAGCATGTCCTGTCATTTTTCCTTGTGTTTATTGGACATGAATAGTAATAACATGGTTAATAACAATATTCAACTGGTGTTTCAGGGACAGGCTGGAATTGCACACTTCAGAAATCAGATCCGCAGAGCCTAAAGTGTCAGATATCAGCTTTACCTGTTAATTTCAAGTAAATCTGGTTTCCAGTGTTCTGTTACTAAACTGCCTAAAACAGCTTTCTATATAGTCTTTATGTAGCCGGTATGAGACCCATGAGTCTTCTTTGTGCTTGGCTGTTTTTGCACAAACCAGCACTAGATGGCGCTGCTGGATTAAAAACCATATGGGCATCTTTCCTATAATGCTAAAAGACTGTTCTGGTACTTTAAACGCTATGAATCATGGTTGTAACTATATGATCACTGTTTGTGTTATTAGACACAATAGGAAATGAAAGTAGTCGTTCATGATCTGTTTTAATGATTTAAACCAGGGCAGCAAAAACAGTCGTTTAGGGCCTCAAATCCAATTATTATTATTATTATTATTATTATTATTATTATTATTATTATTACTATTATTATTATTAGCTGTAGTAGTGTAGTAATAGTAATATTAGTAATAGTAGTAGTTATACTACTACTACTACTACTACTACTACTAATAATAATAATAATAATAATAGTAATAATAATAATAATAATAATAATAATAATAATAGTAATAGTAATAATAATAATAATAATCCCTGCTGAAAAAAAGAACATTAGAACCATTAAGATTATAACCTGATGGTTTTTCTTTCTAATGCAAATTGGCTTATTGATTACCATTAGAGACCACTAGAGTCCAGCAGGAAACCTCAAGATCCCATCAAGAAACCATCATATGCATCTGGAATCAGAAAACCCTTAAACCCATCAGGACAGACACTATATACCATTAGTGACTACTGGACGCTATTAGGAACTTGCAGGACTTTTTAGTGGCTTCTGTGATTTTTTTCAGCAGATATGATGCTTCATTCATTCATTCATTCATTCATTCATTCATTAATCAGCTTAGGCTACTTACGGAGCTGCTGGCTGTATTTCATAACTAAATTGTATCATTTTCTAAACCAGTGACAGATTTTTAACCAGTGTAAATAGCTGTAAAAACCTCAGTGCTTCTGTCAAAATATCAGAAACAATAAACTGTGTAGTTTATACGGTATTTAGAAAATGTTGATGTTTTAATCGGCTGAGAAAAACAAACAGCTGCTTATAGATGAATAACAGCACCGAAAGCTCGCTTAAAGACGCTGGGCTGTGTTTCAGTATAAAATAACTATACGTGGCTCATTTTTAACACCCATAAGGCTTTTTTTATTTTGGTGGACTTCCTCTAAAGAAATCAATAACATGCGCTCTTCTTTCTACGTCTAGAAGCATAAAAAACAACAGTAAAAAACAATAAATAAATAATAAATAATAATTTAAAAACGACCAAAACAAATAATGCACAGAACAGAGGATGCTGCGCGTGGGAATCCGCTGCCGTCCAATCAGGTGCGCGGTGGGCGGGGTTGGAACTCGCCGAGTGCTTATAAGGCGACGCGACGCGGGTTCGACACTTCATCCCGGAGCAGCGACGACATTCAGACACAAACACACACCGAGTGATACACACTAAACACACTCTTACACACTTACACACACACAGGCGGTGCGGAGTGAAGTTTCACCGCTGTGAGGGAGTGAAGGGACGGAGGAGCCCCGAGTTCAGCCTCATTCAGCCGCTACGAGCCGAGCAGCGGACATGAGAGGGTGAGATGGATAACGGTCGTAACCGTCCACCTCTCCGCCCGATGGAGCCTCAGCCGGGCTCGCTTCTCCTCGGTCTTCTCCTCTCGGCTCTGGCCTTCGGGAGCGGGGCTGCGCAGGCAGGTGAGTGGCAGAAACTTCCAAGGGGGCAAAAATCACGACATCTAACTTTACTTCGGCCACTTCTGAGGACGGACCCGGAGGGGGGAGCCGTTAAAGTTGGCTTAGTTTGATTAGCAGAGCGACCGTTACCTCAGAGCTGCTGCTGAAACCCCGAGTCAGTTTTCAGACGGAAAAACGGGCGGATTTAAGGAGAGTCGAGCTGAGTTTCACTCACATTTTCGTGTGACGTTACTTTTGTGTGCTTTTTTGAGGCGAAATGCTGTTTTCTGGTTTTCCTGACAGACTTTTTGGTCGTTTTTTTTTTAAATCCTCAGCGCGGGAAATTGGACCGACTCCTCCACCTCAGATAAGAGGCTTTAGCGCAGAGTTTAACACGGCTGTTTTTTTGCCAACGTCGAGTGGAAAGTTAAATTTTCCCCGTTCCACCTTAAACGGTGCCGCAGGTACATTCAGGTTCCTCAGCTTCTTGTTCGAATTTCCCCGTTCCACCTTAAATAGCGAGCAGTTACATTCTGGTACCTCAGCTTCTTGTTCGAATTTCCCCGTTCCACCCTAAATGGTGCAGCAGTTCCATTCTGACACCTCAGCTTCTTGTTCGAATTTCCCCGTTCCACCTTAAATGGCGCAGTAATTACGTTCTGGTACCTCAGCTTCTTGTTCAGATTTCCCCGTTCCACCTTAAATGGTGCAGCAGTTCCATTCTGACACCTCAGGCACCACAATGTACCTGCTGCGCTATTTAAGGTGGAACGGGAAAATCTGAACAAGAAGCTGGTTTGTGCTTTGTAAGGAAAAATGGAGAAACGCTGGAATGTGTTTAATATTCACCCCTGACAGATGATAACCCCTGTTTATGAGTATCAAATGTGAGTTTAAGCTCGGACCAGACTGGCCACACGATGGCGCTATGCTACCAAGAATTAGCACTTTCCACTTTTCCATTTTGCCATTTTTTCCACGTTTCCCTTCTCTTTTTCAACTGAATTTTCTCCTTAATGTCTGTTTCACCTGTGTTCGTTCATTTTGTTAGTAGTTGTGCTTAACCTTTGTCCTTCATGGTGATGATGAAGGTTGTTATTATTAAAATGGTTATGGTTATTTTTATGATTCTTATTATTATGCTTATTTATTTTCAACTCAACAGCTCAAACCAAGACTTTCTACTCTGCTGGACAGTTTAAAAAGACTCGATTTTGACTATTAAGCATGACTGACACTATAAATGATGATGGTGTTGATAATAGTAATAATAATGATAATAATACCAAACAAAGAACGGGTCTGATCACACATCTACATACTAAAGGGACAATCAGAGAAACGGGCCGAAGCAGACGGCACTGTGTTTGACCCCGACTGTGATGTGACATTTAAGTCCTAAAGAAAATTGCGGGTGAGTCGAAATTAAAAATCAACTTATTAATCAGCTCCAACTCAGATTACAGTCCACTGGAGGGTTCATAGAAACTGTGGGAGTGAATATCTCTCAGTAATTAAACTTGTCAGTTCTGGCTTCTAGACCTAGAAGGAGGGAAGGGGGCTATAATTCTGTATTTTAAAATGACCATGCTTTGAACTGTGTGCTCAAATTGTTGTACATGTTTTTTAACAAACATAATTAGTTTTATTTCCATTGAATAATAGATAAGTAGAGAGACTTATGAGCTCAGTAGGTGTTCTTGCAGTTTAAAACTGAATGCTGATATTCATTGTACAATATATGATTCAGCATTAATGGTGCCTTCACAGATGTGCATGTCACCCATGCCATGTGCCCCCCTGTACCATCATGAATACTGGCTTTTGAACTGTGCACTGATAACTAGCTGAGTAGTCTTCAGCCCGGAGGACACAGTGTCCATGATTTCCAAAAAGAATTTCAAATGTTGATTTGTCAGACCACAGGACACTTTTCCACTTCACCTCAGTCCATTTTTAATGAGCTCGGGCCCAGAGAAGGTGGCAGCATTTCTGAATCCTGTTTCTATTAAGTTCCTTCTTTGCATTTTAGAGATTTAACTTGCATTTTAAATGCAGTGATGAACTGTTTTCATAGACAGTGTTTTTCAGAAGTGTTTCTGAGCCCATGCAGTGATTTCCACTACAGAATCATGTCTGTTTTTAATGCAGTGCTGTCTGAGGGCCCAAATATCACAGCCAGCAAATACTGGTTTTTGGTATTGTCCCTTGCATACAGAGATTTCCCCAGATTCTCTGACTCTTTTAATGTTATTATGTACTGTAGATGATGAAAAACAAAAGTTCTTTGCTATTTTGCTTTGAGAAACGTTATTCTTGAATTGTTGCACTATTTGATAGTGTAGTCTTTCACAGAGTGGTGAACCCCTCCCCATCTTTACTTCTGAAAGACTCAGCCTCTCTGAGATGCTCTTTTTTTATACCCAATCATGTTACTGACCTGTTGCCAATCAACCAACAGGTGTTTTTCTTTATTATTACACAATTTTACCAGCCTTTTGTTGCTCCTGTCCCAACTTTCTTGGCACAAGTTGTTGGCATCAGATTCAAAATGGCCCAGCTCCAGTGGGAAGTCCGATTGTGAAATGCAAAGTTAATGTTTATTGCTGAAATACCCCTGGGAGCTTTCATAGATGTGACTTGGCGAAGAGCAGGTCTTGCTTTTGTGGTCATCAAATGAGGTGCAAAAAAAGCACAAAGATCATAATCCTACTAACAGGGAATACAGATAACATCAAGCCAGTATGTTGGTGAAGCGTTTTACAGCATTTTCTCCTCCACCTCAAGTGCTTTTAAGATTTGCTGTAGGTTCCCTACAAAATGGGACCCTCAAATAAAACATTACTTCATTAACAGGCTACTAGCACTGCTCTGTAGGCGACCCTGCTAGTCTGCAGTGATAGCAGAGGAGGGTAAAGTTCAACAACCTCACTGCTGGGCTTTAGTTACATTTAGGGAATCATATGCCTTCAAAAAAGGGGAATGTGAAAACGATTCATGATTATATTATTATAACGTATAATAATGACTAACATTAGTATTATTTAAATATCATTTTTGTAGTCAGTTTTTTCGCCAGCTTCTCTTTTGAATTTTCCCGTTCCACCTTAAATGGAGCAGCCGTAACATTCTGGGGCTTCAGGCGTCAGAACTGCTGGACTATTTAAGGTGGAGCAGGAAATTTAGCTAGCTAGCTACTGAGACGTTAGCATAGTACTAGCGATTTTTTATGCTTGTTATGAAGAAAACAACCATAATACATTGAAACAACATTTAAATTAAGATAAAAAAAATGACTATCGTAATTTGTTAACAGAGAAACTACTTACATGTGGGGGTTTCTTTCGTCTTGTTCAGCCATCTTGCCGTTTTTTCTTTTATTTCTCATAACACTGTTTGGAGTGAGTCTCTGAAAAACCTCTGTTTGGAGGGCGATGTAACCCATAACACTTCGCCCTACCCCTCTATCTCAACAACAATTGGGACACCCTACCCCCAAAACGTGAACATGAAAAACAGAGGGCTAAGGGCTAAGTGGTAGGGGCAAGGGGTGAAATGGGATTGGGCCTAAGTACATATGATATCAGACGTCTTGAAAGTGGACGCCATATCCAGCCTTTTTTACAGGTTCTTTAATTCACCACATCTTTCAGGTTTTCATACCGAGAAATACCTTCATATTTTTCATACCTACAAATGAGTGTTTTTTTCCCCTGAGAGGTCTCACTGTCAAACTGCCAGAGCAAACATTTGGATTGCAGTGCTGTAAAAAATCTTTGATGCACCAAACCATTGACTGTGTGACTGCATTGCAATCCCATTGACAGGAAGCTACCTGTAGAAAGACTGTGTGTAAAGTGTCCTTTGTGCTCCCAGTCTTCCAATAGTGAACAGTCTCCTGAATGTGGTGTCCCTTAGGCTTGGAGTAAACCATTACAGCAGAGTGTAATCCTCTCACTCATGTCTCTTTGGGAAGCTGGTGGGGCAGAGAAAGCTGCAGGGATCTGCTTTTCAGTTGCTGGAGGGTTTGTTGTTCCTGTCTGCTTGTAATTCCTTTTAGAAAACAAATGCATCTTTTCCAAACAGCAGGGCCAAAACGTCTATCCAGCTTACGTGCTCTTTCCTGCGTTTTATTTAGTGAAGACACAGCAGTTTGTGAATTGTTCTTTTCTTCAAAGTTCTACCATTAAGGTTGTGATAGTGGGATGCTGTTTCCAACCTGTGCCATTCTTGAAGCTAAAAACCAGAGTCCAGGGGCCGTGTTATAGAAACTTCTTAAGTCTGAAATCTTATCTTTTCTGTTTAGTCACCTTGACAGCTTCTGTCAGGACTGAATTTAGGACAGAAACTGTTACAGAACAACAGTTCTGAAGTTCATAATCGATTCCATTAAATCCAGATAAGAAAACATTTTACAGTAACATCCTAACTAGACTCAGTCTCCTAAATACTGTCCTAACTTTAAGACAAACCCCAGAAGGTCTTAACTTCTGTTTAACCATCCATTTCTATCGTTTATGCTGTGACAGGCAGCACAGTTCACTATAACTGACATGACGTTGTTATATTTATTTAACAGTATTTTAAAAACACCCAGACACTGCAGACAAAATCTTCTGTTATTACCTTTGTGTGTTTATGTTGATGAAAACTCGTCAGATAAAATATCACAGTGATGGTGGTGAATAATGAGGAGACAGTGCTGAATGTGTGGCTGTTTATTAGGAGGAATAATACCGCGCTTGGCTAAAGCGTTTGGGAAACTGAAACTGAAACTGGAGACGGCGACGCTCTGATAAACAGCACAAAGCACTGTCGCATATTGTCATATTCCTAAAATTTATCGCACTTTAGTTTTGTATTTACATCAGTAACGGTAGCTAGCTGTCTGGCTAACTAACTTGATTGCGCATACGGCCGGTTGCTAGGTAACAGACATGACAGTTGATTGTTCACTTTGATCAAGTAGGTTAAGATTTCCTAACTTGAGATAAGATGCTGTAAGATAAGATACCTAAATG